ATGGGCCGCATAGATGCTTTATTGATGTCACTTCTCTTTTCTAAGGACAAAAGTTGAGGTCCAGATGAGCCTTATTCAACTGAATGCAACTTAGTGAAGGGTGAACTTGATTTCCCTCCTCCACGAGTGGGAATCATTCACTGAAACTCTCCTTGATAACTTTATGCTTGACCCAAAGTAGACCCCCAGCTCTAAGCAGGCCTGAGAAGAGGGATGTGCTTGGCTGGGGGTGGGGGTGGGGAAAGCAGTTAACTTGTGACAGAAGTTCCCTGTGGTCATCAACAACCCTTACCACTACCACACCATAAATAGCTGGAAATGTTTCTGCTTCTCAGAGAAACTCAGCCAGAGGTGCATTTCCAGAGAAATTCTAGAAGCTGTTGTTGGTTTAGCATCTGGAACCAACACAGCAACAGTGACTCCTCGTGTAGTTACTTACTAGCTCTGTGACTGTAGGTTAGTCATTTTGCTTCTCGGAGCCTTCATTTCCTCATCTGCTACGTGAGGAACTGGTAGTATTTTCTTTATAAGATGCAATGAGAAAATGAATGTAAGACACTTAACTGAGTGCCTGGCACATTTTAAGTGCTCAAGAGGTCTGAGTTGATAAACGGAGCAGCAGCAATTGGTTCCCTTCCATCACAGGGGAGATGGGGTTGGTTATCCAATTTGCCCTAACGGTGGGGTAACGAGAAGAGGACCATATGTCTCTGTACAGAGGAGAAAATGCAGGAATGTGTCCGTTCACAGACACATTGGCGCTCAGCTAAGGAGACAGCACTTTCAGAGCAGAGCGGTGAGGGGGGGCAAGCGAGGAGTGGTGACTGAGTTCCTGGGGGGTGGGCAGGCCCCTGCTGGCCTTGAGCTGGGGTTTCTTCACACAGTCTCTACCTCTGGCTGAGGTTCTGCAGTGCAGGGGGTTCCAAGAGATGGGCAATCTCTCCCATTCAGGAGGCTGGGGGCCCAGTCAACCTCCCTGCACTCTTCTACCCACTGCTGAACCAAGAAGTGTGGTATTTGTTCAGAGCAGGGTGTACAAGCTCTCCTGGAATTGAAACTGGAGGTCCAGTGACTTCCAAGGAAGAAAAATCCTTGGAATTCTGTCAGAGGTCTGGGTCTCAGGGAACAGAACAGAAACAAGGGCCTCGTCTTTGGTCCTTATTTACCAAATTAGTTCAGGTTCTGGTAGCTTGCTGGCCGCCAGCATTTTTCCAGCAAGACACAGGAAAGCAGTTAGGTTGTCCTGGGTGTCCAGCAGACTGCCATCTCCTCTCGTGGTACACATGTCCCAGCTAACCTTTTCCAGCTGGAGTCTTTTTATCAATCCCTTGGGATTGTCTCTCCGCAGGACTTTCCAGAGATGATTTCCTTCCCCAGGCCCAAGAGAGTGTGAGTAGACTTAGCAGCATTCTGGACCTCATTAAAGAGGAAGCTAGCTTTCTTCCCTGGAAGAAAAGGCAGGGATAAGTGGGTGACACATGGTGAGTCAGGGCCATCAGTGAGTCAAGGTTAGCCTCCCTCTTTAAGTGGCCAGGGAGGGTAGAATAGGGAGCAAGTTCTGATAACTTCACTTCCCCAGGAATTGCATGGTGGGCTAGCAGGCAGGGAAGACGCTGTGGAGATATGTGAGGGAGGGAGGTGTGGTGACAGTGGCAACAGTGAGTGAGAAAGGTCCCCCTTCAACCATGAGGCCGGCCATGAGCCACAACCCTAGGATAAGCCCAGAGATTTAGTCTCAAAAGCACAGGATTTGGAGGGATATGACCAAGGTTTGACTTCTGTATCTGCTACTTATCAGCTGTTTTCTCAGACTACCCAAAACCATGCCAAGCCTCAGTTTCCTGTTCTCTACATGTGGAAATCATAGTACTTCCTTTATTGGGTTAAACTAGTCAACTTATGTAGCGTGCTTAGCAACAACTTGAGCCATAGTAAGCTCCATAAATTTTGGCAGCTTAGAAAAGGAAAAACAAACAAAAAAATCAAGTGTTTATGGCTCTGGAGATTCTGAAGAGCCGTATCAACAGGCCCCAGCAGTTACTGGGAATGATGGGCAGGAAGTGGGAGGCAGGACAGAGGAAGGCTCAGGTCTGGCGGGGTGGGGAATGCCAACCTTTCAGAGTAGATGAACCAGCCTACGGGCCCCAAGAGAACAGGGTGGGGATTTCCAGGGACCACTTGGACTCACCGAGGAGTGGGAGGGGCGCCCAGTGGTGAGGGAAGTGTGTCTGCATGAAGCTCTTGGCCCAGGCAGAGCGGTGAGTGGCTGAATGGGAGGCAGACTTCCAGAAGTGCAGACGGAGCGGTAATAATGACTTGGACACTCAGGAGGAAAAAATAGCTCAGGGACAAAGATGATGCCAAGGTTTCTGGCCTTGGGAGGCTCATGGGGCTCTGAGGTGAGTATTGAGGGATGAAAAGGAGAGCTCCTGGAGGAAAGGGCAGGTGTGGGAGAGGATGGGAGCCTGGATTAAAGAGGTGGCTGGGAGGCAGGAAGAGGGCTGCAAAAACCCCGCTACCTTGCGGCTGTGAGGGAGCAGTAGAGAAGGCCCCGGGGACTGGGAGACAGTCTTTGTTCCCAAATGCTAGGTGCAGGATTCAAGGAGAGCCACAGCATCAACCAAAAGGCAGTGAGTTTGGGCCAGCAATTGCCAGCAGAACCTCAGTTTTTCTCTCCTAAATAAATCGGTCTGGGGTCCTCCCTGGTACACAGTGGGTTGAAGCAATGCACTACAAAGCTAAGCCAAACTGTGGCTGCTGCAGTGTGAGTTTGATCCCCACCCTGGAGGTGATTCACATGGCACAGCAGACCTCTCCTGACTTACCCACTGCTCCCATCAGCAGTGTACTTTGTTGATTTGCCTGTTCTGTTTTCCACTCTGTTTCTGGTGAATCTTCTTGCCGCCCTGCACCTCTGGCCTGTACCCCAGTTCTGTATGCATGAATAAATTTTTTTTTCTTTTTTAGTGGTTATTCTGTCATTCACACAGAATCTGCTTAATGCATATTTCTAGGTGTCTACTAGATGAGCACTGTTCTAGGTTCTGGGATACAGTGGTGAGCAAGCAGACTAGCTCTGCTCCTTGAGAGCCATCCTGGTGGCCTGGGAAGTCAGACAGTCAGAGGCTTGCATGTTGCTGAGCAGGATGTCTCTTGGGGTCTTCCCATGTCTGCAGCAGCTGCAGAGGCTAGAACAGCAAGGACTAAATATTTTCACATTTCAAAAAAAAAAGTGTTAGATACTTTGCTGAAGGTAAAACAGGCACAACAATCAGTCTACAAATGAAAGGGATTGAAGAAAGCACCAGACGATAGAACTGTGGCAGTGATAGGTAGGACTGGGTCTCCCTTGAGGGTAGTCCCCAGTGCCAACCAAGTGGTAGGGACTCTAGTCATAGAGATGGGAGCTACCAAGAGAAGACTAGCATGGCTCACCATAAGTCTCTCTCCCAGGATGCTGGCTGAGTTGCTGGAAGCTATAAGTACACCCATGCCCCCAAGCACAGCGAGAAAGTTCTTGGGGGAACCTAGCATATGTATTTAAGAAGTGAAGGTATGTGTAAATGAAGAAAGAGACTTGGATGTACTTCTGGTCTGGGATATTCTGACTGGACAGCTGGCCTCTAAGCAGGGCAGGAGGGGGCCTTCCAGGTGGCGTAGGGGTTAAAGGCTCAGCACTATCTACTATCAGCAGCCACTGTGACACGAGTTCAATTCCCCACCAGGGAAGTGACCCACATGGAGCAGCAGACCTCTCCTGTCTCACCTCCTGCTCCCCTCAGCAGTGTATTTCATTAGATCTGCCTGTTCTGCTCCCCGCTCTGTCTCTGGTGACTCCTCTCACTTGCCTCCATACTGCTGGCCTACACCCTAGTTCTTGTGTGCATAAATAAGTAAAAAAATAAATATTAAAAAAATTAAATAATAAAAATAAATAAATAAAACCAACCCACTGTTGTGTTGCTGGCATGGAGGAGTAAATCCCGTAAGAGGCAGTACATGGCCTGCTGATTGGCAAGTGTACTGCTCAGGTGGTGCAGGATAGACATGAGCTGCGAGCCTCCTAAGAACACATAGGTGTGCCGGGAAAGAGCCACTGCTTAGCACCTGCCAACAAGGGCACCTGTCACATGGGGCTTTGCCCCTTTTCCTCTAGAACTTCCTATCCAACCCTGGCAGGAAGGGGCCACAGCAGCAAAGAGCATCTGAAAAAAGCAGACCATACCCCAATTTCCCCATTACAGGATTTTGGGTCAAGGGCCAGGCCCCTGGGGGACGAGCAGGACACAAGCTTGATTTAATTGGATGGAGACTTGATTTGGACAGGACCAGACATTTAGGACCTGGAAATTGGTCTTAATTACAGAAAAGAGACTTCGTGATTGGTAGTGACAGGGAAGCCGAAGAACTGCTGAAGATGTCCTTAGGGCCGGTGAGGGAAACCGTGGCAGGGTTGACGGCCGAGGGAGGGAAGATTAGAGCTGCTTCTACCTTAAGACTGGTCAATTCAATAAACCGGTTAAAAAAGTAAACAAACAAGATAAACCAACTAGTCTTTAGAGCAATGGAAGCAGACTTGGGGGTGGGTTGCTGCTCCAGTAGAACAGACAGGGACAGTCACTCCAGGAGGTGATGTCTGAGCTGAGAGAAGGCATGAGGAGCTTGTTCTGTAAAACGTTGTCCCAGAGGGAGGGAAGGAGGAAGGGCTTGCAAGGAGCGGCGAGGAGGCTAAATCAGCTTCAGTAAGATGTAAGATGGAGCCTCAAGGGGGTCAGTCATGCAGACTTTGTAGTAGGCCAATGGCAGCAGCAGATGCTGTATCCAGTACTAGCTGTGCAGGTCCCTTGCGTGTTTGGCAAGTTGTGGATGGAGCTTTCCCGCCTGCTTCATCTCTGCCTCACTGAGAAAGGTGGGCGGCAGCATTGCACAAGTGAGGGGGCGTGAGGGTGGGTGGGCACGAGTTATGATTGCCAGGTCTTTAGGCCAGAGGGCATGGGGACATGTCATTCTTGCACCACTGCCCCCTCATTGCCAACACAGGAAGATGTGAGCAGACATACCTGGGATCAGTCAGAGGCTCATCGAATCCTCCTTGGAAATCCCTGAGAGAGTGAGGGTCTGGGATGGGAAGCCAGGGTAAAAGACTTCTGACCCCAGGGCAAGAGTCCTGGATTTCATTCCGCTGTGGGACACATGCTGTCTCCTTGAGTGACTTTAGTCAAGATCTTCCACATCTATGCCTCTGTCCCCCTCTTCCAGGATCCGCTATCACCGCTCGCCTCAGACCTAGACGACCCTGATGCAAACGGAAGGGAGCTAAAATCGCTGGGGGTAGTTGGCCCAAGTAGTCTCTCTGCCCGAGAGGCTGGATAGCCAAGAACGCAGCCAAATCCACTAGAGGGCGCGCGCCCCCAGGCCACCTTCCCGCGCTCCCGCGTTCCGGGGCCTCTGAGGGAGGCGAGCTCCCTAGTGCTGCCCGGCGGGCTCCCCTAGTGGCCGGGGCGGGAAGCGAAGGGACTGGGGGCCGGTCCTCAGGGCTCCTTCTCTGTCCTGCGGCTCTCCTGGACTTCTTTAGACTTTCCAAGCCGCTGCCTTGGTTATTCAACCGCAAGTTTTTCCTTGAAGTCAGAGGCAGGACATAAATTCGGGAAAGAAGAACAGTTCGAGTTTGCCCGGGACAGGAGAGAGGTGGCTCAGGTGTCCCTGTCCCAGCAAGCGTCCACTCTACCAGCCCGCGGGGCTGCCCTGCACCGCCCCCAGCTCCTCACGGGTTAACCCCACTCGCCGCCCGCTCGCTTCCCGGTGCCAAAGTGGGTGTTGCTGGAATTCCTCTCTCCCTCTCCCGTAATGAGGGGGCTGAGCTGTCCCTCCGAGGAGGGGGCATGGTGTGGATAAAAGAGACGAAAAAACAGGAGGAGGTTTCCAAAAATAAAGCCCTCCTGTTCCCCCTCAGCAGGATTCAGTGACGGGGAGAAGGCGCGAAGGTGCAGCTTCGGGCGCGCCCGGCGAGAGACCCTGCGACGTGCAGGGCGCGCAGCCCCTGGCCACCGTCTCGGTCCAGCCCTCCCTCCGGGACAGCCCGGCCGGGCCGGCGGACAGAGCCGCGGCCCCCCAGGCGCCAAGAAGCCCGCGGCCCGCGGGGTCGGGAGCACAGCCCGAGCGCGCCCACCGCACGTCCCCACGCACAACGTTCCAGCCGCCCCCGGCGCCATGAGACCTCCGGCCACCGCCCGCTGCCCTGGGCGCCCCCTACGAACCCCCTGGCGGAGTTTGCTGCCTCTCACCCTGGCTCTCTTCGTGGGCGTGGGTCACGCTCAGAGGGACGCGGCGGGAAGATACGAGTCAGCTGGCAGGGACGGGACTCGACCGCGGAGCCCCGGGGGCAGCCACCTCGCGGCGGCTTCAGCCAAGGTGTACAGTCTGTTCCGCGAGCAAGACACGCCCGTCCTGGGCTTGCAGCCCGCGGAGCAGGTCCAGCCGAGCTGGGGGAGCCCCAGGAGGCCCGCCGAGGTGGAGGCAGCGAGGAGGCCGCCACGCGCGCAGCAGTCGCGGCGGGTGCAGCCACCTGCGCAGACCTGGAGAAGCAGTCCCTGGGGCCATCAGCAGCCGGCACCCCGCACCCGGGCCGCCCCTGCTCTCCCGCGCGGCGGGACCCTGCAGCGGCCCAGGGCTGCGCCCCCAAAGCCGCCGCGAGGGCGGCTCACCGGGTGAGCACTGGGAAAGGAAGCATGGGGCTTGAGGGGAGCGAGGGCCCGGCTCCACTGTGCAACTTGATGGAGGGGCCAGGCGCTGCCCTTGGTCTTTCTGGTCTCAGTACTGCCGGGAAGCAGCACCGAGGTCCTGAAGCAGGGGGTCAGAGCTCTGACCTGCTTTGGAAGAGTTAGGAGAAAGAGAAATACTATCCTCACCTTTGGGTACCAGTTCTCCAAGACCCTTCCTTAATTCCTTTCGAGTTCACCTGCCCTCCTCCCTCCTTCCCGTAGGCAGACGAGAGCACACCTCTCTCAGCACTGGGTATATGCGTGGCCTCGCTGGAGGGAGTCCCAGGCGCTTGGGGCCTACCTGGGGTTGAGCTCCATGGTAGGGCCAGTAGGTGGACTCCAGTGCGAAGGTAGATAGGGGGACTGGCAACAAAGTCCCCTATGGGGGATGCAGGTATGGACTGGGCTGCAGGTTGGCCTGGCAGCCCTGCCCTGAGGGCTAGAGCTAGAGATGGTTTGGGCATGGGCTTGGGGTGCTTTGGATAGAAAGCCTGTCCCCCACATTGGGGGGCGGGGGGCTGTCTATGTGGGGCCTGTGCATGGAAGTAGGGCTAAGCCTTCCCCAAAACCTTTTTGCTATCTCCCTGGGGTGCCCTCATAGCAGGAAGACTTCCCAGCAAACCCTCACTTCCAGCTGGGGTTTATCTTGGTTGAGGGGTGCTCAGTCTTGCCTGCGTGTGGCAGGTGTCTCCAGAACGGAGGGCCTGGGAGCCTTGGCTGTGCAAGGACAGGTAGTGGTAACATATCTGAGATCCAGAAGGGTTCTGGCTCCCCCCTAGCCTAGGCTCCAGCTACCAGTTGATTTTAGTTCAGGTGTACAGCATGAAGGACACTTGTGTCTAGTTCTAGTCAGAGGACGTCCTGTCTGCCTTACCCCTCGCTGACTTCCCTGGCTGCAGGGAGCACTGTCCTGGCCTTCAGCAGGATTCCTGGCTCCAATCAGATCTTCTCTCAGAGAGGCCTTCTCTGATGACCCTATCCCTCTCTTCTTGCCTTCTTCGCGTTTCTTCATAGCATGATGGTCTGGTCTCCCAGTCAGTCCACGCTATTGTAATGCTTTCTATGCAAACAGAGACTGTGTTGTTTACTGCTGCATTACCAGCACCTAGAAGAGTGCCTGCAGACGGTTGGTGCGCATTCAGGATCTGCTGAATGAGTGAATGAATTCCCTGCTGCCCTTGGAGGGCAGAAAGCAGGGGAGAGCAGACCCAGTCACTCACATAGGCTCACTCAGCAGGTATCAACAGAGCACCTGCCAAGTGTCAGTGTTTTCCCTTCCTGGCCCATGCAGGTGAATGAAACATCCTCAGAGCAGTGCAGAGTATGAGCTGGGTGGGGGCCCAGGACAAAGGCATTATTCCTGCCAGGAGGGCAGCTCAATGATTTAAAATTGAGTTGGAGAAATGAATTGGTGAGCTTGCTTTCTAGCACTGGAAGTTCATGTTAAGTGCACAAGAATGGGGCCGTTGTGGTGGAGGAACACGAAGGAGGAAGATGCCCTGTGAGCTGAGCCCCTGGGGCTTTCCTGCACAGGCCTCTGGGCAGGATTACACCCTGGTGGAGAGGACCATGGAGATGAGGCTGGAGGCATAGTTTGGGCTAGATCATGGAGGAGCTTCAGTGCATGCATTTGTGTGGGCTCAGGAAGGGTCAGGGTGAGAATGTGTCTTCTTCAAAATCCTGAAATGAGGTGGTGACGAGCAAAGGAGATTGTCATCAGAGTAAAGCTGGTAGAGGTAGACAGGCACTTGTTAACACAGGTGCACACCTCATATCACATGCTGTGTTTGGCTCCTCTACCCTAACACCCACACCCTCCCCTCCTTATCTGCTGCAGGCTTGATAAGGAGCGGCTTTTTTTTTTTTTTCTTTTTTGGCAATAGTTCCAGGCAGCCACTCCAAGTCTTCTGGGGAGGAGCTGAGTGGCAGTTTTGTCCACTAGCATCCTCTATCCATGTCCATTCTGGCTAGTGGCTTGTAGCCAGCCACAAAGCCCACCATGGCTTTGTAAGTATCTGAGGACCAAGGACCAAGTGCCACCTGCTGGTAGAATGTGGAATTACATCACTACTACTGGAGATTCTTCATTAATTCATTCAACAAATATTTGCGCAGCCTGATTATGTACCAGGCACTGGGGTTACTGCAGTGTCCAAGAAAGACAGCCCATGTACTCACGGAACATGCAATGTAGAGCGGATTTGCTTCACTTATGGAATATTTATTAAGTATGTTCCAAGTGCAGTGCTAGGTGTTTGGGATACAGTATAACCAGAGTGACTGAATATTTTTTTAAAGGTTTATTTATGTATGCAGAACTGGGGTACAGGTGCGGTGAGAGGATTCATCAGAGACAGAGTAGGGAGCATAACAGGCAGATTGAGGAAGTACACTGCTGAGGGGAGCAGTGGGCAGGTCAGGAGAGGTCTGCTACACCATGTGGGTCAGCTCCCTGGCTGGGAGTTGAATTCGTGCTACAGTGGCTTCAGAGAGCTTCATAATGTGGTGCTTTAACCCATAGTGCCCCCAGGGAGAGCCCCCTATTGGGAACTTTTTAAGCTACTGACTCCCAATCTTCAGTGTTTCTTGGGCTAGTTTCACATATCACTTTCATAATGTTTTCTTCTATCATATCCCTCTATTATTTTTGTTCTATGTTCTATTATTTTTCTTTAAATTTACATACTGTTAAAATAATAGAACATTGATCGATTTTAAAGTATTTCATATAATGAAAGTTTGTATACTCATACAAAAAGGCATTATAAACACTATAACTAGCAATTCAGCCTCACTGAACATTAATATTTTGCTCTTGATTTTTCCATTTGAAATTTTCCCTATAAATTTGACTCCCTCTCTCCCAAGTCAACCACTATCCTGAATTTACTCATGTTCCCAATTTTTGTTTTTATACTATGACTACAGATGAATGTACCTGTAAAATACACACTATTGCTTCATATATTTTAAACTTAGATAAGTGATACCATACTATAATATCCTTCTACAATTTGCCTCTCCCCTTAGATATTTGAGATTTTAACCATGTTAATATAATGAACCCAAGTTTAAATGTTCATCATATTTTAAATGTTTCCTATTGTGCCATTTCGCTGAATATGCCACAATTTATCCATCCTGTTTAGGATGGGTTACTTTTCTCCCTTCCTTTCTTCCTTCCTTCCTTTCTTTTTTTGCTATTGACTTACTTTTCTACACAGATTTATTTTCAAGGAAACTTTGTATCACAATAATAAACTGGAAATAATATGATTTGTCACATAGAGAAGATAAGTATAAGAAAATTGAAACAACAAAATGTTCTCACATTCTAGCCAGACACCATCATCTCAGGCAGGTCAATGCCAAGGTGTGTTCTCTCATTGGATAGGGAGCCTTGCTGTGCTGGGGAAGGACCTAGCATGTAGAACTAGCTTCAGAGATTTTTTTTTAATTGATCTAATCAGACTAGAAAGGTCAGTGAAAAAGGAATCACTTTCTCACCATATGACTCAGAATTATTGAATGCTGTGATTATAGAAACCTGAAATTCCTTTCTACCCTCACTGCCTGTCATCCATTTTTGGGGAAACACTATATTACATGAAGCAAAGAAGCATTAAATGTATACTATGTATCAGGCACTGTGTTAGACCCTGGAGCCACAAAGAGGGGATAAGAAAGAATACTTAAGCTACACAACATGGAGGCACATCACGGACAAAATGATCGCCATGGATAGAGAATGGGGAAGGCTGGGAGGATGTCAGGAGAGGTTTTACACGAAGGAGGTGACATACAGTCTGGAAGTCTTGGCATATGCAAAGGATTTCAATTGGCAAAGAAGAGAGGGAAGACTTTCTAGGCAGAGAGAGCAGCTTAAACAAAGGCATCAAAATGTGACCATATATGGTGCAATTGGGGAATGACCAGCTTCGTAGTCTTGGAGGATCACAGCCTTGGTTGTGGATAGTCATGGAGACAGGTCGGGGAGGGGATGCAAATAGCTTGCACAGACAGGTGGGGCCCAGTTAGCTGTGTCAAGGCTAATGCAGAGTCATGGGAACTTTCTAACAAAGCGCCAGTATGTCACAGGTGTGTCTCCAAGGGTTGGATAGTGGTGTGGGCTATTGAGCAGGTGTTTGTTTAGAGGTGTCACCTGGGAGATAGGAGTCATATGATCTCTCCATGGTATCTTCCAGGCAGTCAGGATGCTGAGTGGTTTGTCCCAGTGACTCAGGCTCATTTTTTCTCTCCAGCTAGCCAGCACTGTTCAATGACTCTCTCAGCTGACCATCGACCTAGCTCAGCACCCAAGACTGTAATATTGGCCTAGAAAAGTCCTTCAGAGGCCCACATTGGACCTCTGAATCCCACTGAAGTGCCCTCCCAGCACCAGCCTGGCCCACACATGCAGCCTTTGATTCTGACCCATCACTGTGACCCTGAAGAGCACAGATGCAGAGCTAACCTGAAGGTTCCTGGGTTGACAGGTGGCTCTATGCTGTGACTTCCCAGTCTTAGAAAACTCTGAGGCATGCAGTCTGCTTCCTATGGAAGACCATATAGGCCTCACCACCATGAAGGGCACTAGCTTACCAATGGAAAGGTAGTGTTTCCTTCCACCAGGGTACCCTCTCAAAGCCCTGGGTACGAGAGCCAGCCCCTTGCCAGGAACGCAGGACTTCATGGAGCCAGAAGCTGCTGAAGGCATCGGTCCTGAGAGGCTTTGGGGTGGCTGGAATGGCAAAGCTCTTGGCCAGAAGGACATTCTGGGAGCTCCCTGGGAGGTGGCTCCCTATAACTTTGGGCTAAAGGGCCAGCTTTTTCAAGCTGCAGGAATTCATTTTGAAAGCTTTGTAAGGATCCCAAAACCACACGAGCTTTGGGGTCCACTCAAATGTCAAACGAATGCCTAAGCAAGAACAGATGCATGCTGTGCTGGTTACAGAAATCCCACGAGTGGCCGTTGCTCCGTCCTTTGCCCTGACTCACTGGCTCTTTGCCTCTGCACCCCACTCCCCTTCAGTTTCAGTGAGGATTCAGTAGGCAATTTTGAATGCCAGTGACGGGATCCATGAAGCTAAAGCCAGCCTGAAGCAGAGTCAGAAGGGCCTTCTATGGGGGTGGGGGGTTTGTCACCCAAATCTGAGGTCTTTGGGTTGAGAGTTAGGACTGGATGAGACCTGCTTGTGCTGCAGGGGACCTTGCCAGACACCGGAAAGTCAAGTTCAGGTGCACTGGGTGAGTGCCTCGATGGTTATTGTAGGTCAGTGTCTTACATGGGAGCCCTCAGCGCCAGCACCAAAGAGTAACCCAGGAAGGACCACCCCACCAAGTGAGTTCCATTCATCTCCCCAAATAGTGTGCACGCTCTGCAGAGGCAGGCTCACCCAAGGCCCCAGACCTCTCTTCCTACCAGTTGTAAATTCTTCTGAATAGAAATTCCACAGCCCAGTGCCTTCACCCACCACCCTGTGCCCAGTCTTTCCAGGCTCTGGCTGCCCAGGCGAAGCCTCTCCCCCAGTGTATTTGTGGCAGGTGACGCGTGTGTGTCCTTGAGGCTGTTTTATGCATGGCTTCCAGCTTCCCTCGGAGTGTCAGCATTTGTTGGAGACAAAGAACCGTGGTGTTTATTTTTTTTTTTTGGTGAGAGGCAATGCAGAGTCGAAGCCTGATTTAGTGTTGGGCCAGCTCTGACGTGAATCCAACTGTGACATCCACTGAATGTTTAGCTCCGGCAAGTGATGTCCCTCTGAACTTCCTCTTGATCATCTTCATGAGCATTGTCATTGCTGTCCAGCAGAATGCCTTCTTTGTATCAGGGGCCTTCTGGCCCCGTCTCGTTTAATCATCACAGCCAACAACTTGGCAGGTATTTTCACCTCCTCTGCACAGGAGAGTTGGGTTCCCAAGGGTGCGCAGAGGAACCTGTGCAGAGGTAGGGCCCAATCTCAGAGCTGCAGGATTCCAAAGTGCCTGCCTCTGGTCTGGGCATCCTGTTCATGGGGAAGGAGCATTCTGCCCAGCCTGGCAGCACCCCCAGGCTCCTCCTATAGAGAGAACCTGAGACCAATCCCCTCGCAGCACACCTGTGCTGACCTTGCTTTGGTGACCCCACAGAAGGAATGTCTGCGGGGGACAGTGCTGCCCAGGATGGACCACAGCGAACAGCACCAACCACTGTATCAAACGTGAGTGTCCCCTCCTCACCCCCGCAATGATCAGAATCTGGATTCCCCAGACTGCCCCCTTACTCCCCAAGGATACCAGGGGTTGGATTGGAGGGATGTGCAGAGGAAGAGGCGTGTTAAAAGGTTTCCAACTGAAATCAACTTCTATATAAAATCCCCACTCGTGTTTTTTTT